GCGCTACTGCCTCCGTGCGCCCCTCGGCCGCAACCTCATCTTCAATTCGTGTGGAGAGCGTGGGTGCTGGGGCGGGGCCTAACCGCAGGGGGCGGGGCCGGGGCGGGGCCCAGAGCCAAAGGATGGGCAGCGAGGGGGCCAGGAGAGGCAGAGTGAGTGGGGGTGTCCAGGACGGAGGAGACAGGGGCGGGGCCGGGGGCCAGGGTACTTGGAGGAAAGGGGCCGTGGGCAGTGGAGGGAGTCGAAATGGATGCGTGGGACAGAACAGAAGGAGCCAGGTGGCGGAGCCGTGGCAGGAATGACTTTCGCAGCAGCTGTAGACTCCGTGGGCGTGGCTAAGGGGAGGAGCGAGGGGAGGGCTGGGGAGAAGCCGACTGGGTGATGGCGGGGGCGGGGCTTGCCTAGAAATACGAGGCTGCCTTGAGAGGCTGTGAGGAGGGGAATTGAGCGAATGGGTGGGACTAGGGAGGGAGGAGCCCCGAGGCTTTGGTAGGAGGGAGTATGGCCTTGGCGAAGGAGCCCGGGGAGGGGCCAGAATCTGAAGCCCAGTAGTTTCGGAGAACTAAGGGAAGAGAACCGGCAACGGGGCTGAGTGAGGCTGAGGAGAAGCTGAATACATAGGCAGGGCTGAGTGACACGGTCGTTGGGTGGGACCAAAAATGCAGGCTGCTAAATGGGAGGAACTGGGGGGCAGGACAGATTAGGTGGCGGCGGGGTCTCTGCTGGGCGAGCTGACAGATGAATCCCTTGTGTTCATCTCTGTTATATTCCACAGAGGGCTTCAGAGGCTGGGAGGTGGAGCACGGCGGAAATGGCTGGGCGGTGGAAAAGAACCTAACACTGGTGCCCGGCGCTCCTTCCCAGACCTGCTTCGTGACTTCTTTCGAGTGAGTGGCTCTTGATCGCTGGGGCAAGGGCCACGAGTAAGAAAGGGGAGCCTACGCCACCGTCTTCACCCTCACCCACCTTCCCCCTCTTCTATCCTCATTCATTTACTCAGTCAATCAACTAATATTTGCTGAGGACCTGCCAGGTACCTGTCACTGTTTTATATGCCAGAGATACAAGAAAAATTTAGGAAGATCAGGAACCTGCTCTTTTTTATTTCCCTTTTAGATGTAGGGTTAACAGTAAAATAAAAACAACAACATAGCAAACATTTAGAGGGCTTACTGTATGCCAGATGCTTTACATATAATTCCTTTAATCCTGGCAACAACCCTATAATACAAATACTATTATTATCTACATCTTTTAATAGGAAATTGAGGCACAGAGTGTAACTAACATCTAGTAAGTGGTGGAACTGGGATTTGAGCCCAGGTGATCTGACTTTAGAGCTGGTGGTGATAAATGCTATGAAGATAGCAAAATAGTCTGAATGATTGGTTGATTCTTTAATCCTCATACCCCATGCCCATTTTCCTTGTCCTCTCCTCCTACAGTCAATTATTCTCATGTGACATTATCCAGCTTTCTAGTAGTTACCAATGTGTTTGGCGTGAGGTGATAGATATCTTGTTGCTATTTTAATTTGCATGTTTCGGTTTACTAATAATTAAGCATCTCTTCATGTGTTTGTTAGCTTTTTCATTTCCCTCTTTTGTAAATTAACTGTTCATATTTTCTATTAAGGTTGAGCTCTTACTCTCATCGATACACAAGAATTCCTTGTATATTCTAGATGTCAGTGCCCTGCCCATCCTGGACATTGCCAAAATCTCCCCGTCTACTATCTGAATTGACTGTGTCCCTGGTGTTATGTTATTTTCCATGTGATCAAATTCAACTTTTTGCTTTAGAATTCATTTTTGAAATGCTGTTTAAAAAATCCTTCCCTACCCTTAGATCCTAACAGTATTCTCCTATATACTCTCTTCTAGTCAACTCATAGTTTAATCTTTCACATTTAGAGCTTTGATCCACCTTTGAATGTGATGTTCAGTAAGGATCCAGTTCCCCTCCTCCCCCAATATATTGAGCCAATTTTCCCAACACTATCTACTAAAGAATCCATCCCTTCCTTACGGAATGGCAGTGCCACATTTATTAATTTATGATGTTCCCAGATATACCTTGGTCTGTCTGTCCTTGTGCACTGTGTTCTGTTCTGGTCAGTTTATCAGTTCTTCTGAAAAAACACTATTTCTGTTATAATGGCACATTGAGATTAGAGGAGATGGACTCTTTACAAAGGTGTAGGCAGAACACAAGATACTGCAGGACCAGGCTAGTAACAGTATGGGGAAGGGACATTACCATCCTAGGCTTGGCAGGGGTAAGAGGAGGAAACAGTTACTGAAACGTGAAGACAGAGAAAGCTGTGAGGAGAGGGCACTATGGGGTTATGCCTTTTTGTTGAGAGACACAACAGTTCCCTGATGGTTCCCTTGGGAGGGAGCCAGCAGAATAAATGTCCTGATCTCACATTCTTCTTCTTCCATCTCCTGCTGGAGCTTCCCATTGGCTGACCCAACAGGAAGCAGAGGGTGAGGGAGGCCTGCCCACACAGGCAACACAAACTTGTTGTCAGAGACCCCAGAATTCCCTGCTCAGATGTCTAGTGTGTGGCCCTCCGTTTGTACTCATGTCCCGGTCCCCACATATTAGGGGCAGGCCTGCATACGGTCAGCTTCCTGGAGCCCAGAGCAGGGTGGAGAATGGTGGAGAGGATCTGAGAGGCCAGTGGGGATGCCCAGCTCATCATACATCTTGTCTGGTAGAGCAACCCTGAGGAGCTGCTTTAGACAAGGTGATCAGGGGAGGCTTCTGGGAGGAGGTGATTTCTGGGCTGTGACTTGAAATATGGGACTCTGCCGCCCCGCCTCCTCCCACCATCCGTCCTTCCCAGATGGTGCTTCAAGAGGCAGCTTGTGGACTTGGTGATGGAGGGGATGTGGCAGGAACTGCTGGACAGCGCCCAGATCGAGATCTGTGTGGCCGACTGGTAAGTGGAGAATGGCGACCTGCCCCCAAGCATCAACGGTGATGGCAGCAGTTCAGCAGAAGGGGTTCATTTCATGTCCCCACCAACCCCACAGGCTGGCTGGCATTGCTACTGTGCCCCCTTCATAGTGAGGCTGAGAGCGGGGAAAGCGATGCTTTCACAGTAGCAGAGCCAGGGAGGGGCGGCCCCTTGGTGAGCCCAGAGTCCCCACTCTGCTCTCTTCCCCACCCTCTTTGCAGCAGGGGTTGTCGGCATAGGGGCCACTGACTGGCTTGACTCAATCTGAAACAAGCATCCCCCTCTCCCAGGACAACTCAGCCCTGACCCTAGACCCAAGGCCTGAGAAGGGTTGGGAGCTTTGTGCCCTGAGAGTTGGGATGAGGCACTGGCTAGTTTCAGAGCCTGTGGGCTCACAATGAGCACCCTCCATTCCAGAGCACCCAGGTTGTTTCCCAAAGTGTTTGGGTGCTTCCCTCAAGATCTTGTTCCTCCACAGAAAATCCAGTTTCTTCCGTGGGGCTCTGGCTTCTCCCCAGAACTGTGGCCACCCCAGAGCATCCAGCTTCCCACACCCACAGGCTCCTCCCCCAGGTTGTGGTTCCTCCTCAGATGCTGTATTCCCACAACACACACCTGACCCAAAGCCTACAGAATCTGACCCAGGAGCACCCAGGCTCCTTCCCCTAGGTTCCCAGGCCTGATCTCATCCTTTTGGGGAAGCCCAGCCCTCAGCCTCCCTCCCCCTGAGAGACCTGAGTAGGTGGCGGGGGCATCAAGGCTCACCACCACCTGGCAGGTGGGGCGCCCGGGAGAACTGTGGCTGCATCTACCGACTCCGGGTCCGCCTCCTGGATGTGTACGAAAACGAAGTGGTCAAGTTTTCGGCCTCGCCCAACCCAGTCCTTCAGTGGACTGAGAGAGGCTGCCGCCAGGTGGGTCCAGACCCTCTTCCACACCACCCCTGACCTGCCCCAAGGCACACCCACCTCCCACCCTGCTCAGATTCTGTTCAATCACTGAGCCCTTATTACAGACCTGTCCCAAGAGTTTCACCCATTAATTCATTTCATTAGCCCAACAGCCTAGTTCTTCAACATACATTTATTGAGCACCTACTGTGTGCTGGGCCCTGCTCTGGTTGCCGGGAATGTAAGTCCCTGTTCCATCCCCCTACTTGAGTTGAAGAAACTAAAGCAGGGAGGTTTGGTGACTCACCCAAAGTCACACTGAAGCGTGCAGGGCCCGAAGCAAGCCCAGGCTGGGTCTTGAGCATAAGTTGTCCCCATAATCATACCTCATTTATCAAAGTAACCTTTTTTGGGGGAGGTCTTCCAGTTTCCACTTCTGATCTCCTCCCACCCACCCCCAGCCCAACACACAGACTCAGCATCTAGAAAGATCCCATTAAAAAGTGAGTCAGATCACACACACACCCCTGCTTGTAGCCCTCCCGTGGCTACATCTCAGAGCAAAAGCCAATGTCCCGTCCTGCCACTGTCAAAAGGATGGAAGTACAGATTCATGCTGCAACACCAGTGAGGCTTGGAAACACTGTGCTAAGTGGAAAGAGGCCATACACAAAAGCCACATATTGTATGGTTCCACCTATATGAAACGTCCAGAATAAGTAAAGCCATAAAGACAGAAAGCAGACAGATTAGTGGTTGCCAGGGGGGAGGGGAAGGAGGAATTGGAAGTGACAGCTAATGGATTCAAGGTTTTCTTCTGGGGTGATGACAATGTTCCAGAATTAGACAGTGGTGATGGTTGCATAACATTTCAAAAATACCAAAAAACCACTGAATTGTAGTTTTAAGTGGTACATTTTACAGTGAGGTGAATTCTCTCTCTCTCAATTAAAAATTATTGCAAAAGATAAAAAGCCCGGAAGTCAAAGCCCTTCTGTGGCCCAAAGGGCCCCACATGATCTGCCCCTTACCTCCCAGACCCCATCTCCTACTTCTCCCCTCACCCTGCTCTAGGCACACTGTCACCACAGGGCCTTTGCACTGTTTATCTCCCTGAACACTTTTCCTCCAGATCCCCAAAAGCCTCCCCCACTCCATGTCTCTGCTCAGATGTTATCTCAGTGCAGCTCTTACTCACTGTACAACCCCACCCTCCTGCAGACTTCCCTCTGCCCTTCCCCCATCTGTTTTCAGGGTCCGAGTCTCCTACTAGATGGTCAGCTTCACCAAAGCAGGATCTTTTTGCTGCTTTCTTCACTGCTGTATCCCCCACACTCAGAGTAGAGCTGGGTACCACCTACTCGGTGCTGGGGAGTATCTGTCGAGGAGCCCTCAGGACCTCAGCCTCTTGCTCTCCTTCCCGACCCAGGTCTCCCACGTCTTCACCAACTTCGGCAAGGGAATCCGCTATGTGTCTTTTGAGCAGTATGGGAGAGACACGCGATCCTGGGTGGGACACTACGGCGCCCTCGTGACCCACTCCAGCGTGAAGGTCAGGATCCGCCTGTCCTAGCTAACCAGCCTGATCTGGCCTCTGGGGACATGCTGCCACCTGCCAGTCACTGATGTCAATCAAGTGCAGCTTTGCAGCCAGGATCCAGAGGATGCCAGGGGACAGTGGCGGTCCCACGTGGACTGTTGCTGGCACACCTCCAGGGAAGCCCACTCTCTGCTGCTTCAGCATAGTGACCCACATGCTGTTCAGGAAACCAAGGATCAAACCCAGCTGGCCACTGCTTCCCCAGCTTCCAGGGGTGGGGCTGCAGGGGGCATCAAAGAATAGAGACCTGTACTTTACCTGCACGTTTTTTCTCATGTGTGGATATCAGTTGATAGACTGAGTCAAAAACAAAGGCCAGACCAGGATTTCTAATAGAGGGGGAAAGCTGCCGACAGTCCGGGCCAGTCACTCGTCAGCATGTTTTGGGGGTAAGGCGATTGCTGGCAGGGTGCAGAGGTCAATCAGGACAATCTGTCCTTGAGGGGACCAACAGGGGCATCAAAGGGAACTCTGTTGCTTTGGGGAGTCTTTGGGGTTCAGCTGCAGGGCCGCACAACCTCCCCCAGAACTGCCCATCAGCCCCCGGGTCCCATGGCCAGTAAGTAGGGGAGGCCAGACTTGTACCAATTGGGTTCCAGGGCCTGGTGATAATAGCACAGCTCCCAAACCTTAAAAATCTAACATGGCCAAGCAGGGGATGGCGTGAGGTCAGCATTACCCTCAGTCCCATTTTCCAAGGTAGGAAACTGCAGCCTGAACGGGGAACAAATATACCCAGAGTCATAGAACAACGAAGAGGTGGAGTCAGGATTTGAAGCCAAGTGTGTGTGTCTGAGAATAACGGAGAAGAGTCACACACCCCATCCAATCCTTTCAACACCCTTTCCTTGCTGGCATTACAATTACTGCCACTTTTCTGATGAGGAAGCCTGACAGCGGGGCCTTCTTGCCCAGGCCCTCCCTCCACCTGCAGAAAGGGGAACTGGGCCTCGGTGCTGCCCACCTGAACGGAGTAGCCATCGCACGTGTTAATGCACATAAAGCGTCTAGTTTACTCCTTATCAAATTCAACAAAGGGGATACTGCAGGTGGGACTATTTTTCCTGGAGGAGGAAACTGAGGCCAGAGGGGATGTCAGTTGCCAAGACCACACGGAGAACGAATACCATGCAAGGAGGGTCCAGCCGCAACCATGGGGGTGGTCTGTTTATTAGAACCCCTCGCCAGCAGATGGCAATAAAGCGTCTTGTCCAAGGGTGTTGGGAGAGGGGCGCCTTTTTCTGATTCATACCCAAGACCACTATGGGTTAAGGGTGGCTCTGACGGAAGAGGTGGCCGGGGTTTGAGCCAGGACCGGCTACTTCTAGAGCTGGGCCAGCTCCCCGAGGATGCTGCCGGAGCCCCGAGGGGAAGGGTCCCGTTCTGCGTGAACACCCACCCGCCGTGTCCCTCGCAGTCACTTCTTCTTCTGCACGTGGCCGCAGTCGTACTTGCCGCGCACGATGGTGAGCTTGACGCCGGGCAGGTCCTGCGTGCGGCCGCCCTGCACCAGCACGACGTGGTGCTCCTGCAGGTTGTGGCCCTCTCCCGGGATGAAGCAGACGGCCTCACGGCCCGTGCTGAGCCGCACGCGGCAGCACTTGCGGTTGGCCGAGTTGGGCTTCTTGGGCTTGCGGATGAACGTGCGCAGGACCACGCCCTTCAGCTGCGGACGGCCCTCCGTGGGGCCCAATTTCCGAGGCGGAAACTTCGGAGGCCCCTTGCGGTGTATCTGGTTCAGGGTGGCCATGGGGCGCGTGGCCCAGGTCTGGGGGACCAGGGCTAGTCCTGGAGAGACACAACCGGAGAGCAGAGTGGGGTCCGTTATACCAGTGAACAGATAATAGCATCAGCCACTCCGTTCTGGTGTTCTGCGGACCGGTGTAGGCACATCGCGGGGATGCATGTGTGTACATCCAGCGGTAGTCACGGGTAAGAGTAATAACAGATCCCTCACGTGTCAGGTTCTATTTTAAGCATTTTACATGGATTAACTCATTTTATTCTGCAGAGAACATTTATTTATTTTAATGTTGTTTAAACATAATAAACACAAACAGGCTCACACTGCGCGCTGCACTGTTCTATGCACCATACCTGCATTAACTCATGCCGCCCCACAGTGCCCCTATGGGGTATCCCTGGGTCTCCTACTATCGCACCTCGCCCCACTCCCATCCCCGTGAGCAGATCCTGTCAACGGAACCTTCAAAACTGATCGGAATCCCTCTTTTCTTGCCCCACCCCCCCCACTAGATCCACCCTGGTCCTGTCCACCCTCGTCTCCCAAGCCTTCCTCCTCCTACTGTGTGCTCCCCACATGCAGCCAGAGGGGCCCTGTAGACACCTGGATCAGATCACACCCCTCCCCTGCTCAGAGACCTCCTGTGGCTCCATCTCAGTCAGGGCAAGAGCCAAATCCCCACACCCACCCCCTGCCCCAGCCAGGGGCCCATGAGGCCCCACAGGGTCCGCCCCTTAATTCTCTGACCTCATCTCCCCACTCGCCTCCTTGCTCTCCTGGCTCCAGCCTGTGTCCACAAACACACCAACAGAAAAGGAGAGCAGTGTGGCTGCTGGTTGGGGAAAGGGGAGGGAATAGGTTTCTACGGCAGACGACAGCACTTGCTCGTGGACAGTAAGTAGGATGTAAGAAAGCTCAGAGATAACTGACTTCTTTTCCAGACATTCATGGAGCACTTACTGAGTCCTGGCCCCAGAAACGGAGACACGGTGGTGATTGAGACAGCCCTGGGCTGTACCCTCTTGGAGCTCCCAGACCAGGGCCTTGATTTCTTTCTTTTTTAAATGGAGGTACTGGGAATTAAACCCAGAACTTTGTGCATGCTAAGCATGTGCTCTACCACTGAGCTATACCCTCAACCCAGAGAGCAGGGCTTTGAGGTGCATCCTCTCTCTCTGTCACTAGCACGGATGCCCTCTCCCACCCAAACTTCACACTCCCCTCCATATCCAGGGCAGGTCCTGGCTTTGCTCTCCATTTCCATGTGTCTTTATGCCTCAAGTTACAGCAGAATCCTCAAAGGGGAGGAGATGTTCCTAGAAGTGTCTTCCTAATGGTGTGCCCTCGAGCAAGACTGTTCATGTCTCAGTGCCTCAGTGTCCTCATCTGTCTGGTGGGCACCATAATCACATCTCCGTCCTGTGTGAGGCTCCCATGAGATATGCAAGTCAAGCTAGCCCAGATCCCCCAAGCAGGGCGCAGGTCTGTCTTGTCCAGCCCTGTGACCCTAGGTGAGTGTCAAAAAGAAGATGTTTAATAAAGGTTTCCAGAGTGACTAAGAGAGTGGAATATTTCACAAAGGTCATGGCCCATGAAAAGTATTTGATGTTTGTGGGGGAAAAATAGGTTCATAAAGTGTCCCACACAATGCCTGGCATGTACTAGGCTCTTGAAAAATATCAGTTGAATGAACGACTCCAACGTCTTGCCTGGTTGTCTCACCCACAGGAAGTATTTAACATTATTTGCTGAAGATATAAGCTACCCAAACTCATGATACCCACCTGACGCACAGTAGCCCTCAATACAACCACTTCCCACCTCTTGCACTTGCAACCCCAGCTCCGCCAAAACCCACTGTGTATCCATTCCCGATTTAAAACCCTGATTCCCTCGGGGCCATGGCAGAAGGACACATGTCCGGGGGAGGGGGTTAACCCTCACCCAGCCTCGTCTCTGCCGTCCAAGCCCTCCACTTACCATAATTTAGGGACGTGCTGAGGCCACGGAGAAGGCCGGACCAGGACATTACGCCGTCTGCAGCGTCCCTGCGTTATGGGTAAGAGACTCAGAAAGGAGCAGGAGGGGAAAGCGGCTGTCGTAGGGGAAGGGTCCAAATTCTCCCCATCCCACTCTCGGAGCCTTCTGGTTAAATCTAAGGAGTTTCCTGACCGCGTTACCACAACCCCTAACGCTGCCTACAGAGTCCCTCTGTAAGTTTAGCCTCGCTAAGTAGGCTCTCGGGAACCCAACCGCCCCCGCCCACGTACAGGAGGTACAAGGAAACTGAGGGGAGGCCGGGGAAAGTTTAGAGAAGGCAAGAGCACTGTCGACCTCACCGACCCCAGCAAGGTCCGTAGACACGCGGAATCGGGCCTCTAGCCGGGTGTGGGGATTATCCCGGCAGGGATTGGCTGGTTCTGCCTCTCGCGTAAACTAAAGGGGCGGGGAACAGGCGACGATTGGGCAAGGATAGTGTCAATCTCGAACAACTGTTCTCACTGAACTGGCTTTTTTCTTTTTTTTAATGCATAGAAGGGGATCACCCCCTTCCAGGGTCTGATTGGCTCTTTCCGAGCACAATAGCGGCTTTGCAACTGGTCTAAACGCATAGTGGGCGGGACGAAGGGTGCGTAACTCTTTGTCCACCTTCCAAGATGGCTGCATCCGTAGTGCGGCGCTTGTGTCTTCTGGTGGCTGGTCGAGGCCTGCAGCTCCGGGGAGGCTGCACCTGCAACCAGAGCCCAAAGAGGAGTTTCGCTACGGAGAGAAGAGACCGGAACCTCCTGTACGAGCACGCGCGCGAAGGCTACAGCGCGCTTCCTCAGCTAGACATGGAGCCGTTGTGCGCATACCCGGAAGAGGCCGCGCGCGCCCTGGAGCACCGCAAAGGGGAGCTACGGGCAGAAGATCTGCCCGCTATCGTGAGTGCGCTTGCGCCGGCCCGGGGTCGCGGAGCCGGGTAGCTTTGCCTATTGGCTGGTTGCTTCACCGACAGAGTAGGCTTGTAAGATACTCTTCAGCAGGGGGCAGTCTTACCGCAGGAATTTTTGCTCCTTCCCAGGTTTACCAATGTGTTGTCCTTGACAGCCATGTACGTGCCTGTTATCCACGGAGTGCTAAGGCCGTAGTGTCTAGAAACCCATAATGCTCCTGTTCCATAAAGTTTGCTGGGTACCCATTCTGCGCTAGGATCTGCCAATGTCCTACGTCCTTCAACCTCATGCCAGGCGTACCCTAAGGCCACAAAGGAAAACGGGGAACAGGCATGTGAATCAGAGGTGAGGGGGGCCTCTTGCCTTTGGAGAGTGAGAGGTGGAGTTCTGCACCTACCCCACAGGTAGCAGGCAGGTAAATGGTGTTATTTAATGAATGAATGTTCTACTGAACAGATATTTAGGGAGCGTCTATATTATGTTCCAGATGGCCTCTGGTGGCTGGTTGAAAATAAGGCAGTGAATAGTAATAATAGTAGTAGGGGGCAGTAGGGTGAGGCTCCAGCCAGAAGATGTAGGGGACAGTGGCCACCTCATACCTTTCCTCTGTTGTCTACCCCCAGATCTCTACGTGGCAGGAGCTGAGGCAGCTGCGGGAGCAGATCCGGAGCCTGGAGGAGGAGAAGGGGGCTGTGACTGAGGCAGTGCGGGCCTTGCTGGTGAACAGGGGTCCTGGGGTGGGAGGGGTTGGCGGTGGGATGCCCCTGGCTGCAGGTAACAGGAAACCCAATTTCAGGAATTTGAAGGATGGGGACACTTATTATCTCACAAAACAAGCCATTCAGGGTCCCCTCCAGCATCCCGAGCCCTGGTTCTTTCCCTCTGTCTCCACCTGGAACTTCACTGTGCTGACCTGTTTCCCCTCTTGCAGTTCTAAGGTGGCTGCTGTGGTTCGCCATCTTTTGGCATGACTGCTGGAGACAGAAAAGGAAACTTCTTCAGCTTGAGTGCCTTTTCCAAGAGCAGGGAGACCTTTCCTGAGGCATCCAGCACAGTCCCCTCATGTCTCATGGGCTCAGATGCCCCACACCCACACCAGTCAAGGGCAGGAGGCAGGGCCTGTGTTCCCTGAAATACAGGAGGGTGAACTGAGTCAGAGGTCTTAGGTTAGAAGGAGGAAAGAGGGCAGACGGTCTAGGGTTGGACAGCCAACTGCTTTTGCTACAGAGGGCTGACAGACAATCGTCCTCATCCCAGCAGACATTTATACAGCCGTCGCTGTGTGCCAGGCACTGTTCCAGGTGCCCTCCTTACTCTCAGGCTCACAGCTCTGTGAGGAACAGTACTGACCCAGATCTACAGCCAAGGAAACTGAGGCCTCAGGAAGTTAAAACATGCCTAAGTCTCACAGCTGGGAAGTAGGAGAGGTGGGGTTTGCACCCAGACATTTGGGCTACTTTTCACCACTCTGCCCGAAGGCCTCCCTCCACCCCCTAATTACACCTCCCAGTGACCTACTGTGTCTTGCCAGGCCCAAGGCTACATGCATCACAGGCGGGCAGGTGGCAAAAACAACAGAACTGATCACAGTGAATGTTCAGTGAGCACTGGTTCATCTTCTCGGGGAAGCCGTGCAGCAGCCCTGCTGGGGAGCTCCTATTATCAGCGCATTTCACAGGCTGGGATACCGAGGCTCAGAGAAAGGAAGAGGTTTGCCTAAGGGCACACAGCCGGTAGACACCCAACATTCAAACCCAGATCTGTCTGATTCCCTCTGGTACTCAGGACCGTAGAAGGTTCCAAGTATCAGAGGTCCTTGGTCTCAGGCGTCCAAATACTTGCTCAGACTTTACCTTTCCCAGCCTCAAGTTTTCTCATCTACAAAACGGGGATCACAGTGATGCCAGCCTCATGGAGTGATGAAGAAATAGGATGAGTAAGAGCCTTCTGCACGGGGCCAGGCAGGATATTTGGAGCTGCAGGCATGATTAGTATTATGTTATCTTATCTCCTGTTAGCTTTGCTGACAGAGAAACTGAGGCACAGAGTGGAGGAGGGTCTAGCCAGGTGCTGGCAGAGCAAGGAATTCAGATCCCCTGGCCGTGACCTTTCATCCTTCCTTTTTCTCCCCCATCTCACCCTCAACTTCATCAACCTAATCACCCCTCATTCTCTTTTCCACCAGGTAAATCAGGACAACAGTCAAGTGGAGCAGGTACTACAGGGAGTTTATATCCTGTCCCAGTAGGGGGTGGGCAGTGAGGATACCATATCAGTCATGAATTCTCCATTGTATGTGGTAGAAAACATAGCTCAAATAGGATTAAGGAAAAAAACAACAGGCTCTATTGATTCATGAAACTAAAAATACTGGCTTCGGGTACAGCTGGATCTAGGTGCTAGCTTCATATTTGGTTCTTCTTATTCCCAGACCAGCTTTCTCCCATTGGGAGAAGGGCAGGCAGGGTTTGGTACAGAGAGAACCATTCACATAAGTTCGGCTTGGGTCTTCTGCCTGTCTTTGAGCCAATCACGATGGCCAAGGCAAGGGAATGTTCTAAGAGGCCAGGCCAGAGTCATATCCCCATGGACATGCCACATGGTGATAAGGGGAGGTTCCCAAAAGGAAATTCAGTATGTTGAGCCAAAAGAAGAAGCAGTGAACATCCACCCCAAAGGCTATGGTAGCCAGGATCAAGATCAAACTGGCTGAGGGACCCCACTCTCTCCTGAGCTGAGCCCACTTGCCCCACTCCCAGGACCCGCAATATCAGAGTCTGCGGGCACACGGCCGGGAGATCCGGAAGCAGCTCACGCTCCTGTACCCCAAGGAGGCCCAGCTTGAGGAGCAGTTCTACCTGCAGGCGCTGAGGCTGCCCAACCAAACCCACCCAGATGTGGTGAGTGCCATGCTGGGCGGCCGGGGAGGCCAGGAGCCCGCCTAGTGCCACCTTCCTGGTGATGCCCAGCCCACTGTCTCCCTGCAGCCCGTCGGGGATGAGAGCCAGGCCCGAGTGCTCCATGTAGTCGGAGACAAGCCAGGTGGGCCATAGCCCAGGTGCCAGGGGGGTGGAGGGGAGGGGAAGGGTGCAGGCTGGGGTCTGGACAGAAGCTGGAGCCCAGAGAGCTCCTAGTGCTGCGGGAGGCGGCCTGGCTGGGCTTTAGCTGTCTCTGCAGGCAGTTCTCAGTTTTCATTCTCTCTCCCCTCACCTCACCCCCTCATCAGGCTTTCTTACTTGTCTTTGTATATGTGTGTGTGTGTGTTTCATGGGCATGTGCCACCACACACTTTTAAGTATCTCTCTTCCTCTCCCCTCTCTCCCTCCCTGCATCTACTCTCTCTCCTTTCTTTGTCTCTCTAATCCTCTTTCTCTCTGTCCCTGTTCCCTGTCTGTCTCTCCCTCTTACTGTTGCTTTCCATCCACATACAGCTTTCTCTTTCCAACCCCGGGGCCACCTGGAAATAGCCGAGAAACTCGACATCATCCGTCAGAAGTGAGCCCCCCTCCTGGCCCCCACTGCCCAGCCCCCCACCCCCACCCCAACAGCTGGCTGCCGGCTCTGGCTCACCGGGCTCTGCATGGGATATGGAACCGCCAAGGCCTCGCCCGGCATGAATGTTTG